TTGGAACTTCGATCATTGTTCTTGCCCATTTTCGTAGCTTGGGGATTTGATCGTCTTTTAAGTTCAACGAATCGACGGCAAGCAAACCTGGAAGGGCTTGCGCACGTTCCGCCCATGGCCACAACATGAAGTCAATCTGAAATCCATCATTTAAAAGATTTGCATTTTAAAAGGAGTTGTGAAATCGGCTTACCATTCCAGGTTTTTCTCCGCCGAAGAAGCGAGTTCCTCTTTTGGCTAGTTCGTCTTCCAGTGGCTGAGCTGCGGGGAGCAAAAGGTCCAGAGCAGCATCCACCGAGTATGTTTCGCTGCTGTATTGCACCTTGCTCAGCAGGCTAGTGGGTTCCGGAAACAAATTCTTGATTACCTCCTGATCCCTTTTTTTGGCAGCTGGATCCTTGGGGTAGAGAGGACTTTGCGTGGGGTATTTTTCGTCCAAATAGTCCGCAATATCCAGGCTTTCAATTATTACTTTGCCGTTATCAAATAAAGCTGGCACTTGTCCTGGGAGTGATCATTTTATTAATAGTATCAAATTTTAAAATAAATTGAAGAATAAGTAAAAAATGCTTGAATTTTTCGCCATGTTTTCATACCTTTTGGGTGGATTTTGAAGTACCATTCGGGTTTGTCTTGAAGGTTGATGTTGACGATGTCGTGTGGAAGGTTCTTAGCTTTCAGCACCAGTCTGACTCTTTTCGCAAAAGGACACACTATTAGCGAGTATACTCGCAGAAGTCCATCAACTTTTGGAGGCTCCACAGAGCCTAAAAGTTCCATGCGATATTTTACACATTTTTCTAGTTATTCGCAGTTGTATCAAGAAGACTGAAGTCAAGTGCTTTTCAGTTAAGAGGAAAGTGCGGTTGCATAATTTGCCCAGTAATATCATAATTCCGTCGTCGAAAATCTAAGTTTATAAATTCAACAATTTTTTTTAACTTTTGGGGACATTTGAAACTGCATTTTACGCCTAACGAATATTTCATCATTATTATTGTTTATATTCTGATACAGGCTTATCAATTATTTCATGCAAATATTAAATATTATTTAAAGCTTTATCGCATTGATTTGTCGATTTATCTAAGCTCACCTGCAGATAAGTGTTTTTCAGACATTATGTTTCGTTTGGTGAAGATTCCACTTAGCAGTTTTCGAATCACTGACATTGTCGCTCCAATAATCCTATTTATAATGTGATTTTATCAGTTAAAAGTAGCAATTTATCTGGCAAATACTACTCTAATTCCGTACAATGAGTTGCAGTTTTATAGTATTTTTCTGTGTGTTTTTTGATAAAAATAAGTGCACAGATTAATTTTTTACGGAACAGCGGTTTTCTATGCTGATTTTTGCAGTGCCATTTTACATTTTATTCTCATTTTTAGCTTCTCTAATTTATGATTGAATATCAAATAGGAAAACTGACTGATTTAACAATCTTTCTTTGAACGTTTCACGTTGAATAATCATAAAACATTGAATGTAATTCGTTTCTAATTTCGT